GGGTGGGTGGGTGAGTGTGTGGGTGAGTGGGTGTGTGGGTGGGTGAGTGTGTGGGTGAGTGGGTGTGTGGGTGAGTGGGTGTGTGGGTGAGTGTGTGAGTGGGTGATTGTGTGTGTAGGTGAGTGTATAGGTGAGTGAGTGTGTGGGTGAGTGAGTGTGTGGGTGGGTGGGTGTGTGGGTGGGTGGGTGTGTGGGTGGGTGGGTGTGTGGGTGGGTGGGTGTGTGGGTGAGTGGGTGGGTGGGTGTGTGGGTGGGTGGGTGTGTGGGTGAGTGGGTGGGTGGGTGTGTGGGTGGGTGGGTGTGTGGGTGGGTGTGTGGGTGGGTGGGTTTGTGGGTGTGTGGGTGTGTGGGTGAGTGGGTGTGTGGGTGGGTGGGTGTGTGGGTGGGTGAGTGTGTGGGTGGGTGAGTGTGTGGGTGGGTGAGTGTGTGGGTGAGTGTGTGGGTGAGTGTGTGGGTGAGTGTGTGGGTGAGTGTGTAGGTGAGTGTGTAGGTGAGTGTATAGGTGAGTGAGTGTGTGGGTGGGTGAGTGTGTGGGTGAGTGAGTGTGTGGGTGGGTGGGTGTGTGGGTGGGTGAGTGTGTGGGTGAGTGTGTGGGTGAGTGGGTGTGTGGGTGGGTGAGTGTGTGGGTGAGTGTGTGGGTGAGTGTGTAGGTGAGTGTATAGGTGAGTGAGTGTGTGGGTGAGTGAGTGTGTGGGTGAGTGTGTGGGTGAGTGGGTGTGTGGGTGGGTGGGTGTGTGGGTGAGTGTGTGGGTGAGTGTGTAGGTGAGTGTATAGGTGAGTGAGTGTGTGGGTGAGTGAGTGAGTGTGTGGGTGAGTGTGTGGGTGGATGAGTGTGTGGGTGAGTGTGTGGGTGAGTGGGTGTGTGGGTGGGTGAGTGTGTGGGTGAGTGTGTGGGTGAGTGTGTAGGTGAGTGTGTGGGTGAGTGGGTGTGTGGGTGGGTGGGTTTGTGGGTGGGTGAGTGGGTGTGTGGGTGAGTGTGTGGGTGAGTGTGTGGGTGGGTGTGTGGGTGAGTGTGTGGGTGGGTGAGTGTGTGGGTGGGTGTGTGGGTGGGTGTGTGGGTGAGTGTGTGGGTGAGTGTGTAGGTGAGTGTATAGGTGAGTGAGTGTGTGGGTGAGTGTTTGGGTGAGTGTGTCGGTGAGTGTGTGGGTGAGTGTGTGGGTGTATAGGTGAGTGAGTGTGTGGGTGATTGTGTGGGTGAGTGTGTGGGTGAGTGGGTGTGTGGGTGAGTGTGTGGTTGAGTGTGTGGGTGAGTGTGTGAGTGAGTGTGTGGGTGAGTGTGTGGGTGAGTGGGTGAGTGTGTGGGTGAGTGTGTGGGTGAGTGTGTGGGTGAGTGGGTGAGTGAGTGAGTGTATAGTGAGTGAGTGGGTAGGTGAGTGTGTGGGTGAGTGCGTAGGTGAGTGTGTGGGTGAGTGCGTGAGTGTATAGGTGAGTGAGTGTGTAGGTGAGTTTGTGGGTGAGTGGGTAGGTGAGTGTGTGGGTGAGTGTATAGGTGAGTGAGTGTGTGGGTGAGTGTGTAGGTGAGTGGGTGAGTGTGTAGGTGAGTGGGTGAGTGTGTAGGTGAGTGGGTGGGTGAGTGTGTAGGTGAGTGAGTGAGTGGGTGGGTGATTGTGTGGGTGAGTGTGTGGGTGAGTGTGTGGGTGAGTGGGTGAGTGTATAGGTGAGTGAGTGTGTAGGTGAGTGGGTGGGTGAGTGCGTAGGTGAGTGGGTGAGTGTGTAGGTGAGTGGGTGTGTGGGTGTGTACGTGAGTGTGTGGGTGAGTGTGTGGGTGAGTGTGTAGGTGAGTGTGTAGGTGAGTGCGTGAGTGTATAGGTGAGTGAGTGTGTGGGTGAGTGGGTGGGTGAGTGTGTAGGTGAGTGGTTGATTGTATAGGTGAGTGTGTGGGTAAGTGGGTGGGTGAGTGTGTGGGTGAGTGTGTGGGTGAGTGGGTGGGTGAGTGGATGTTAAACGTGGCCCCCCCTAATGGAACATCTCGCCGGTTAGAAACATTTATGCTAGCCCGCCTACGATCCATCCTGGGTTTAACCAGGCTGGATTGTGTGAGGAGCTCACAAATCCTTGAAAGATCTGGGCAAGGTCCCATCGGTGAGCTCCTCCGGCAGGCAAGGCTGCGTTGGCTGGGTCATGTAGCCGGCATGCCCAGCCACCGCATGCCGAAACAGCTTTTGTTCGGCCGGATTGAGGGGGCTAAACGGGCGCGGCACGGGCTAGAGAAGAGATGGAGTGACGTGGTACAGGAGGACGTGGAGCTGAGTGGACTTGTCGATGACCGGTACCAGCGGTGTCAAGATCGGCCTCTGTGGAGGAGGCTCGTGAAGGATGCTACTGGGCAGTTGGAGGTAGTCGCCCTCCAACAATAACGGAGGGCGGAGGAGCGACGCTCACAACAACGAGCGGAGCGCCGGGTGGCTAAAGCACAGCAGGTTGGCACAGTAGGGGGCACAGGTGGTGCACCAGCCAGTCATCTCAGTCAGTCGACCCGTGGCACCTGGGTCTGCCCTGTGACCTGCCAGCGAGCGTTCGACACTTCACGTGGCCTCAAGGTGCACATGGCCTGGCACAAGCGTCGTGGTGACGTCACCGCCACTTAGTGGCGAATGGCGGTTGTTGTTGTTGAGTGGGTGAGTGTATAGGTGAGTGAGTGGGTGGGGGAGTGGGTGAGTGAGTGAGTATGTGAGTGAGTAGGTGAGTGAGTAGGTGAGTGTGTAGGTGAGTGTGTGGGTGAGTAGGTGAGTGAGTAGGTCAGTGAGCAGGTGAGTGAGTGAGTAGGTGAGTGAGTGGGTGAGTGAGTGGGTGAGTGAGTGGGTGAGTGAATGAGTGTGTGATTGAGTGGGTGAGTGAGTGAGTGAGTAGGTGAGTGAGTGAGTGAGTAGGTGAGTGAGTAGATGAGTGAGTAGGTGAGTGAGTGAGTAGGTGAGTGTGTGAGTGAGTAGGTGAGTGAGTGAGTAGGTGAGTGAGTAGGTGAGTAGGTGAGTGAGTAGGTGAGTGAGTGAGTAGGTGAGTGAGTGGGTGGGTGAGTGGGTGAGTGAGTGGGTGAGTGAGTGGGTGAGTGTATAGGTTAGTGGGTAGGTGAGTGAGTAGGTGAGTGAGTGAGTAGGTGAGTGAGTGAGTAGGTGAGTGGGTGGGTGGGTGTGTGGGTGAGTGAGTGGGTGAGTGAGTAGGTGAGTGAGTGAGTGGGTGAGTGTATAGGTTAGTGGGTAGGTGAGTGAGTAGGTGAGTGAGTGAGTAGGTGAGTGGGTGAGTGAGTAGGTGAGTGAGTAGGTGAGTGAGTAGTGGTGAGTAGTGGTGAGTGTTGTTCGCCTGATGAATGTCTTGATCCGGTCCTGGGCCTCCACTCGGTCGAGCCCAGCGGCCAGCAACATTCAGCACAGCCCAGCGGCTGCGCAGGGCTGTTGTCTTGCCTGTCTGGACCACGTGATCATAGTGGATAGAAATCCGCGGTAGCTCTCTCTCCGTGGGTTTCCTTGGCAACGCGTCATTAGAAATCCGCGGAAGCTCCACTCGGGTTTTCCTTGGCGACGCATCATTAGAAATCCGCGGCAGCTCTCCGTGGCGACGCATCATTAGAAATCCGCGGAAGCTCTCTCTTTCCGGGCATCCTTGACAACGCGTAATTAGAAATCCGCGCAAGCTCTCTCTGGGTTTCCTTGGCAACGCATCATTAGAAATCCGCGGAAGCTCTCTCTCCCCTGGGTTTCCTTGACAACGCGTCATTAGAAATCCGAGGAAGCTCTCCCCGGAGTTTCCTTGGCAACGCATCATTCGAAATCCGCGGCAGTTCTCCTTGGCAACGCGTCATTAGAAATCCGCGGAAGCTCTCTCCCTGGGTTTCCTTGGCAACGCGCCATTAGAAATCCGCGGAAGCTTTCCTCAGGTTTCCATGGCAACGCATCAGAAATCCGCGGAAGCTCTCTCTCCCCGGGTTTCCTTGACAACGGTGGGTGAGTGAGTGAGTGGATGATTGAGTGAGTTGAGTGGGTGAGTGGGTGAGTGAGTGAGTGGGTGAGTGGGTGAGTGGGTGGGTGAGTGAGTGAGTGGATGGGTGAGTGGGTGAGTGAGTGAGTGGATGGGTGAGTGATTGAGTGGGTGAGTGGGTGAGTGAGTGGGTGGGTGGGTGAGTGAGTGAGTGGGTGAGTGAGTGAGTGGGTGAGTGGATGGGTGAGTGGGTGAGTGGGTGAGTGGATGGGTGAGTGATTGAGTGGGTGGGTGAGTGAGTGGTTGAGTGTCTGAGTGTGTCAGTGAGTGAGTGAGTGGGTGAGTGAGTGTCTGAGTGTGTCAGTGAGTGAGTGAGTGTCTGAGTGTGTCAGTGAGTGTCTGAGTGTGTCAGTGAGTGTCTGAGTGTGTCAGTGAGTGGGTGAGTGAGTGGGTGAGTGAGTGGATGAGTGGGTGAGTGAGTGGGTGAGTGGGTGTCTGAGTGTGTCAGTGAGTGAGTGAGTGTCTGAGTGTGTCAGTGAGTGAGTGTGTCAGTGAGTGAGTGTCTGAGTGTCTGAGTGTGTCAGTGAGTGAGTGGGTGAGTGAGTGGGTGGTTGAGTGGGTGTCTGAGTGTGTCAGTGAGTGAGTGAGTGGGTGAGTGAGTGGGTGGGTGAGTGAGTGTCTGAGTGTCTGCGTGTGTCAGTGGGTGAGTGGGTGGGTGAGTGAGTGTCTGAGTGTCTGAGTGTGTCAGTGAGTGAGTGGGTGGGTGAGTGAGTGTCTGAGTGTCTGAGTGTGTCAGTGAGTGAGTGTGTCAGTGAGTGAGTGTCTGAGTGTCTGAGTGTGTCAGTGAGTGAGTGGGTGTGTGAGTGAGTGAGTGTCTGAGTGTCTGAGTGTGTCAGTGAGTGAGTGTGTCAGTGAGTGAGTGTCTGAGTGTCTGAGTGTGTCAGTCAGTGTCTGAGTGAGTTCAGTGGCTGAGACACAGGAGAGAACCACCACCACCATCACCTCCTCTCCCCCACGTGGATGAAACTCCATCAGTGACTCTAACCTTGCTGATGGTGTTAACGTTTTGTGGCGCGTGTTGTGTACAGCGCTCACGACAATGGCTCTGCCCCTCCACCTGTGGCAGCAAGGCGAGTGAGTGGATCAACAGGTGACATGTTCTCTGACTCACCGCGCAGGTGAGTGGCCGCTCACCACCACCACCACCACCACTCCTCACCCCTCAGAGAGAGAGAGAGAGCGGGTGAAGGACTCTTATTGTGACACTCGTGGTGAGGGTGAGGGACTCTTATTGTGACACTCGTGGTGAGGGTGAGGGACTCTTATTGTGACACCAGTGGTGAGGGTGAGGGACTCTTATTGTGACACTCGTGGTGAGGGTGAGGGACTCTTATTGTGACACTCGTGGTGAGGGTGAGGTGACTCTTATTGTGACACCAGTGGTGAGGGTGAGGTGACTCTTATTGTGACACTCGTGGTGAGGGTGAGGTGACTCTTATTGTGACACCAGTGGTGAGGGTGAGGTGACTCTTATTGTGACACCAGTGGTGAGGGTGAGGTGACTCTTATTGTGACACCAGTGGTGAGGGTGAGGGACTCTTATTGTGACACCAGTGGTGAGGGTGAGGTGACTCTTATTGTGTCACTCGTGGTGAGGGTGAGGGACTCTTATTGTGACACTCGTGGTGAGGGTGAGGTGACTCTTATTGTGGCAGAGTGGTGAGGGTGAGGGACTCTTATTGTGGCAGAGTGGTGAGGGTGAGGTGACTCTTATTGTGGCACTCGTGGTGAGGGTGAGGTGACTCTTATTGTGACACCAGTGGTGAGGGTGAGGGACTCTTATTGTGGCACCAGTGGTGAGGGTGAGGTGACTCTTATTGTGACACCAGTGGTGAGGGTGAGGGACTCTTATTGTGATAGGGTGGTGAGGGTGAGGTGACTCTTATTGTGACACTCGTGGTGAGGGTGAGGTGACTCTTATTGTGACACTCGTGGTGAGGGTGAGGGACTCTTATTGTGACACCAGTGGTGAGGGTGAGGGACTCTTATTGTGACACTCGTGGTGAGGGTGAGGGACTCTTATTGTGACACTCGTGGTGAGGGTGAGGGACTCTTATTGTGACACTCGTGGTGAGGGTGAGGTGACTCTTATTGTGACACTCGTGGTGAGGGTGAGGTGACTCTTATTGTGACACCAGTGGTGAGGGTGAGGTGACTCTTATTGTGACACTCGTGGTGAGGGTGAGGGACTCTTATTGTGACACTCGTGGTGAGGGTGAGGGACTCTTATTGTGTCACTCGTGGTGAGGGTGAGGTGACTCTTATTGTGACACCAGTGGTGAGGGTGAGGTGACTCTTATTGTGACACTCGTGGTGAGGGTGAGGTGACTCTTATTGTGACACCAGTGGTGAGGGTGAGGTGACTCTTATTGTGACACTCGTGGTGAGGGTGAGGGACTCTTATTGTGTCACTCGTGGTGAGGGTGAGGTGACTCTTATTGTGTCACTCGTGGTGAGGGTGAGGTGACTCTTATTGTGACACTCGTGGTGAGGGTGAGGTGACTCTTATTGTGACACCAGTGGTGAGGGTGAGGGACTCTTATTGTGACACTCGTGGTGAGGGTGAGGGACTCTTATTGTGACACTCGTGGTGAGGGTGAGGGACTCTTATTGTGACACCAGTGGTGAGGGTGAGGTGACTCTTATTGTGACACCAGTGGTGAGGGTGAGGGACTCTTATTGTGACACCAGTGGTGAGGGTGAGGGACTCTTATTGTGACACTCGTGGTGAGGGTGAGGGACTCTTATTGTGACACCAGTGGTGAGGGTGAGGTGACTCTTATTGTGACACTCGTGGTGAGGGTGAGGGACTCTTATTGTGACACTCGTGGTGAGGGTGAGGGACTCTTATTGTGACACCCGTGGTGAGGGTGAGGTGACTCTTATTGTGACACTCGTGGTGAGGGTGAGGTGACTCTTATTGTGACACCAGTGGTGAGGGTGAGGTGACTCTTATTGTGTCACTCGTGGTGAGGGTGAGGTGACTCTTATTGTGACACTCGTGGTGAGGGTGAGGTGACTCTTATTGTGTCACTCGTGGTGAGGGTGAGGGACTCTTATTGTGACACTCGTGGTGAGGGTGAGGTGACTCTTATTGTGACACCAGTGGTGAGGGACTCTTATTGTGACACTCGTGGTGAGGGTGAGGTGACTCTTATTGTGACACTCGTGGTGAGGGTGAGGGACTCTTATTGTGGCACTCGTGGTGAGGGTGAGGGACTCTTATTGTGACACCAGTGGTGAGGGTGAGGGACTCTTATTGTGACACTCGTGGTGAGGGTGAGGGACTCTTATTGTGACACCCGTGGTGAGGGTGAGGTGACTCTTATTGTGACACCAGTGGTGAGGGTGAGGTGACTCTTATTGTGACACTCGTGGTGAGGGTGAGGTGACTCTTATTGTGACACTCGTGGTGAGGGTGAGGTGACTCTTATTGTGTCACTCGTGGTGAGGGTGAGGTGACTCTTATTGTGACACCAGTGGTGAGGGTGAGGTGACTCTTATTGTGATAGGTGGTGAGGGTGAGGGACTCTTATTGTGACACTCGTGGTGAGGGTGAGGGACTCTTATTGTGACACTCGTGGTGAGGGTGAGGTGACTCTTATTGTGTCACTCGTGGTGAGGGTGAGGGACTCTTATTGTGACACCAGTGGTGAGGGTGAGGTGACTCTTATTGTGGCACCAGTGGTGAGGGTGAGGTGACTCTTATTGTGACACTCGTGGTGAGGGTGAGGTGACTCTTATTGTGACACTCGTGGTGAGGGTGAGGTGACTCTTATTGTGACACCAGTGGTGAGGGTGAGGGACTCTTATTGTGACACCAGTGGTGAGGGTGAGGGACTCTTATTGTGACACCAGTGGTGAGGGTGAGGTGACTCTTATTGTGACACCAGTGGTGAGGGTGAGGTGACTCTTATTGTGACACCAGTGGTGAGGGTGAGGGACTCTTATTGTGTCACCAGTGGTGAGGGTGAGGTGACTCTTATTGTGACACCAGTGGTGAGGGTGAGGTGACTCTTATTGTGACACTCGTGGTGAGGGTGAGGTGACTCTTATTGTGACACCAGTGGTGAGGGTGAGGTGACTCTTATTGTGATAGGTGGTGAGGGTGAGGGACTCTTATTGTGACACCAGTGGTGAGGGTGAGGTGACTCTTATTGTGGCACCAGTGGTGAGGGTGAGGGACTCTTATTGTGATAGGTGGTGAGGGTGAGGTGACTCTTATTGTGACACCAGTGGTGAGGGTGAGGTGACTCTTATTGTGACACTCGTGGTGAGGGTGAGGGACTCTTATTGTGACACCAGTGGTGAGGGTGAGGGACTCTTATTGTGACACTCGTGGTGAGGGTGAGGTGACTCTTATTGTGACACTCGTGGTGAGGGTGAGGTGACTCTTATTGTGACACTCGTGGTGAGGGTGAGGGACTCTTATTGTGACACCAGTGGTGAGGGTGAGGTGACTCTTATTGTGACACTCGTGGTGAGGGTGAGGTGACTCTTATTGTGACACTCGTGGTGAGGGTGAGGTGACTCTTATTGTGACACTCGTGGTGAGGGTGAGGTGACTCTTATTGTGACACCCGTGGTGAGGGTGAGGTGACTCTTATTGTGACACCAGTGGTGAGGGTGAGGGACTCTTATTGTGACACTCGTGGTGAGGGTGAGGTGACTCTTATTGTGACACCAGTGGTGAGGGTGAGGTGACTCTTATTGTGTCACTCGTGGTAAGGGTGAGGTGACTCTTATTGTGACACTCGTGGTGAGGGTGAGGGACTCTTATTGTGACACTCGTGGTGAGGGTGAGGTGACTCTTATTGTGACACTCGTGGTGAGGGTGAGGTGACTCTTATTGTGACACCCGTGGTGAGGGTGAGGGACTCTTATTGTGACACCCGTGGTGAGGGTGAGGGACTCTTATTGTGACACCAGTGGTGAGGGTGAGGTGACTCTTATTGTGACACCCGTGGTGAGGGTGAGGGACTCTTATTGTGACACCAGTGGTGAGGGTGAGGTGACTCTTATTGTGACACTCGTGGTGAGGGTGAGGGACTCTTATTGTGACACTCGTGGTGAGGGTGAGGGACTCTTATTGTGACACCCGTGGTGAGGGTGAGGGACTCTTATTGTGACACTCGTGGTGAGGGTGAGGTGACTCTTATTGTGACACTCGTGGTGAGGGTGAGGTGACTCTTATTGTGACACTCGTGGTGAGGGTGAGGGACTCTTATTGTGACACCCGTGGTGAGGGTGAGGTGACTCTTATTGTGACACCAGTGGTGAGGGTGAGGGACTCTTATTGTGACACTCGTGGTGAGGGTGAGGGACTCTTATTGTGACACTCGTGGTAAGGGTGAGGTGACTCTTATTGTGACACTCGTGGTGAGGGTGAGGGACTCTTATTGTGACACTCGTGGTGAGGGTGAGGGACTCTTATTGTGACACTCGTGGTGAGGGTGAGGTGACTCTTATTGTGACACCAGTGGTGAGGGTGAGGTGACTCTTATTGTGTCACCAGTGGTGAGGGTGAGGTGACTCTTATTGTGATAGGGTGGTGAGGGTGAGGTGACTCTTATTGTGACACTCGTGGTGAGGGTGAGGGACTCTTATTGTGACACCAGTGGTGAGGGTGAGGTGACTCTTATTGTGACACTCGTGGTGAGGGTGAGGGACTCTTATTGTGACACCAGTGGTGAGGGTGAGGGACTCTTATTGTGACACTCGTGGTGAGGGTGAGGGACTCTTATTGTGACACTCGTGGTGAGGGTGAGGTGACTCTTATTGTGACACTCGTGGTGAGGGTGAGGGACTCTTATTGTGACACCAGTGGTGAGGGTGAGGTGACTCTTATTGTGACACTCGTGGTGAGGGTGAGGTGACTCTTATTGTGACACCCGTGGTGAGGGTGAGGTGACTCTTATTGTGACACTCGTGGTGAGGGTGAGGGACTCTTATTGTGACACTCGTGGTGAGGGTGAGGTGACTCTTATTGTGACACCCGTGGTGAGGGTGAGGTGACTCTTATTGTGTCACCAGTGGTGAGGGTGAGGGACTCTTATTGTGTCACTCGTGGTGAGGGTGAGGTGACTCTTATTGTGACACCCGTGGTGAGGGTGAGGTG